TTTTGTTTTTATAACCGATTTCTCATATTAAAGGAAATCGCAATCTGATTATAATAATTAAGCAAATATTATTGTTATCTAAACTCGATCGAGTTTCTTTTAACTACGTACAATCAAAGTTCAACTAATCCGAGCCGAATCAAAATATGTAGAAATAAAGCCAATTGGAAAATCGTAGAGAAGAGAAGAAGATAAATAAAACCAAATTAGTCCCATCCTCTGAACTTTAGAGTGCACTTGTTTGAAGGAGGGTGCCTTGACCATGATACTCAAATGAAAGATTGAGATTCTTCATTTTCAGTAATGTAAAAGATAATAGATACAAGAGAAGTGTTGGTGCAAACATTTTGTATATTGTTTGTAGGGATCTGCATGGTAATAAACAGAACATATTGGAAATACAACTCTTTTAACTGTTTCTATAAAATGATTTCGAAAGGTAGAACCAATATGCATAAAACCCTAAAGGACCTATGAGCTTCGCATAGACAAAACAAGAAAAGGCAGCATAAACATATAGAGCTTAATTACAGGATGCTATGGTGCTGCGAAAGGCATGAGCTGAGAACCACAGAGGCAGAGAAGAGCTTCCTTTAACTGAAAACATCTCTTTCCATAACTTACTTTGTCTTTGATAGACCAAAACCTGTTTATGAGTAGCCAAGAAAACATACTCACCGGTCTGGCAAATCGGGAAGATTCCAGGTACCAATCCTTTGATACACCTTAGACTTATACTATCAACAACACTCCAAGTTTCAGTCTCATACTCTCTCATCTTCCAGATCTTCATCCACCCATTTGATAGTTGAATCACCGACAAAAACCCATCACATTCCAAGAGATAAACCCGATTGCCACCATCCCCACATCTAATCTCATCAGGCAAAGAAATCTTTCTCCACACATCATGTTCAACATCAAGTGCAAGTATGTAACACAAACCACCCATCAACCAATGAAGCATCCCATTGACAAACACCACTTGGTTCTTGCTCATATGAGTGAAACTACATTCTTCTTGCGCCGAAACAAATTTCCTCCATTTGTTAGTCTCAGAATCAAACACCAAGCATATAAAAGTCCCATCAGGTCTCTGACCAAAGGACCTGTGGTAACCAGCCATGACCACATAAAACTTGTTCCTGGTTAAATCACAAGCCAATCCGACAAGAGTTGCCTCACCATCTGGATAAAACCGAGTAACGGGTCTCTCTCGGCTCTTAGGCAATTTACGGTGCTCTCTAGTGGACGGATTACAGACATAGTAAACGCCCTTTTCAGGGATGCTAGAGCAACACAATAAGCCATTACAAGAAGCCCTAATTCTGACCCTATCTCTAAGAAAAGCCAATGATAACTCAGAAACACCGCGGAGATTATCAACGCAGATCAAGCTAGACTTGGAATCTGATACCTCGGCAACAAGCATTTGGTCTTTGACAGAAACTTGGTTGTACAAGGAAGTGAAATATTTGTCGGAAGGCAATCTGTACCAAGTTTTGCAAACGGATTTGAACCTGAAGAGAGATTTAAGAGGTAATCTAGCCAGAATCTGAAGAATCACCTCATCGGGAAAGAGAGAAACTTTCCGGTTATCCATCACCACCCGATCGATCAACAAATAACCAAGAGATGTGGAATCTACAAAAGTACAATGGTAAAACAAACTTTGAAAAATTCGTCAGGTAAACCCTAAAATTGAAACCAGCTTGCAGAATCGTTTCGATTACCCATCAATGGACACAGAGAATGTTGAGAATCGGATTCGAATTTTGGTTTTTAGCGAAAAAATGAAATCAAAAGAGACCATTTCAGAGACGAGTGAGGAAAGAATAGAAACAGACCAAATGAAATCGCGCGAGCGTTGAACAACAAAAAAAAACGGGGAAGAAGAGGCACGTGGACTTCTCAATAGCCAATAGAAAAAGACCACTTATATCTTACCGCTTTGTTTAATTTAGGCCCAAGGCCCATTTATTTTTTTTCCAATAAATAAGAATGAAGAATATTTGTTTGTAAAATCAAATGTCCCCCTAAGCCATTTAATAAGCAGTCTAACCATTTTACAAAAATACATAATATATTAAATATATATAATAAAATTTATAAAAAACTAGAATTTATAAATAATAAATTTTATATTGTGTTTATATTCATTATTTTATACCAAAATATATAGAATACTATGATTTATATATAAAAAATTTATAATATTTTATTTTTATAATATCATAATATTTTAGGTAGCAAAAACGATAATCGCCACGGTTTATAGAGGTCTACCGCCTAAACGCCGTCTAAACGAACGTTTAAAATACATATAAAAGGTCTTCTATTACTAATCGATTTAATTTACTTGGTCAATAGTTGATTGGTAAAGCAAAAAATCGGATTTATGTGTTCTGAGGTTTCGCAATATGATTTTTGTGTGTTCTGAGATTACAAAGTCCAAAGTTTTAGTGGATCTGATTTTATATGATCAATCAACTGTTAACCAACTAAACTCTGATTATTATTATTTAAATGCAATAACCAAAACACCTCGCTTCTGTTTTTCAGGAGTATATAATCTGTGCTACATGCAACTCCCAAGAGAGATGCAATATACATAGTCGTCACGACAGCCTACAAATATCCGTCCACCGATCATCACTGGTGAAGAGAATATGTCTGCCTTCAACTTCAACCTCGCGATTTCTTCTACACTTCTTGATTCATCTCCATCTTTGCTCACATTTTGTTTCACTTTAAGGACATGAACTCTTCCCGAGCTCGAGCAAACACACACCAACCTGGAAAACACCACAAGCAGGTAGGTATATCATACAGCCAACATCCCATGTGCTTGCTTATTCTTGTAATTAATACCTGTCTGATGCAACCAGTTGCTGCGATTCAAAATGCAGATTCTCATCCACGTATGCCGATGCTGTGATCGGGTCCCCAATATTGCATTCCCACAAAAGACACCCGGATTCCTGAAGTGAAATTCCCCAACACACTCATGACTCTCATCATACTGGAGTTTTTAAACGAGTACCACAACAACTGATCCTCATAAAAAATCCCTATCAATGTGTCCTTGAGGTCCTAAAACACAAACCTAATATAAACGTGTTTAGTACAAAACTACAACTGACTTTCCTTAGAGCCATTCTATTCCCACTGATTTAGTTACAGACTCAACAATATCTTTAGTGCACCCACATCAAGCTTTTAATTTCAAGAGCGAGTATCCCTTCTAATATATATAATCAGACAAATTGATCAGCCAATGAAGGCAGAACTCTTATTAAACTCATCATCTTTCAGAAAGGAAATTCCTTTAAGATGCATAGGAAGAGATAACATTTTGGATAAAGTTGTACTTGCTTGGAATCAAGTTCAGTACTTGAAAACAAAAGCACCTTTCACAAATAAATAACAGTAGACTGCAAAGAGTGAACTGAAAACAACCCATGTCCAAGGGATATAAGAAAGTACCTGTTCTAGTGAATAGATGCTTCCATTTCTACAGCATACGAGCAACTGCAGCAAATTAGATGTGTAATCAGCCTTAGCGAGAAACAATATACAACAAGGATGGATTGCAGTTGTATACAAGAAGCAAGTGATGCACACGATTTTTAACACATAGAATTTACTGATGGAACCACGAAGAATACCTGAGACGAAAGCACGTACGACATGCAAGGCCCAGCAAATATTGGCCCGCCAGTCCTATACTGCATCAATGTAATAACTGAGTAGTTTGAGCACTGAGAAATGGCCAAAACAAACTGACAGTAACAAAAGATGTTGAAAGCTCATTTGACTAGATAGGCCACTGTCAGCATCTAGTAACTCCAAATAACATAAGTTCCAGGGGAGCTATATGGACTTTTACAACACCATTCAAATGCACTGAGATCAACCATACACATACCATCCAGACAATTGTTCCAGACGGATTTGTTGCAACAACTCGGCCATCAACTAAGCAGCAAATCACTGTGACAGAAAATACAGATTGAAAATGATGCTGAAATCAAGTAAACAGAAAGAAAATAGAAAAAAAGGAAAAAAAACCGCTTCGGCTTGTCGGGGTAATGGATAGGGAACCAAAAATCGGTGCCTCTAGTTCAAGTTGCCACAAGGTGTGGAATGGAAGATCCTGCAGTTTCAAAGTTAACCTGAATAAACGAGGCTCCATTTTTAATAATATAAGTAACAACATTCCTTCTGCAGCCAACTAATATCTAATGCAGATCAGTTAAGCTAAACATCTATATCATATAAGGCATACGATACAAGACACAATTGTGGCCCAAAGATTTAGTACTGAACCATTACTCCAAGGACTATTCTGCTCAAGTTATATAGATCAGAAAATTGAACTTTCTAGATCTGACCTGCCCTATCAATATCATACCATCCAATTGGAATAAAAAAAAAACGAGGTTAAGAAATTCACAAGTCCAACACATCTTCATTATTAAATGGAATGCAAAAGATATAGAGAGGATTTAAGATTATGGATCCAAGGCCCATACCTTTATTGATACAACTATCACTCGACCACTTGTAGTAGCTACGTAAAGTAAACTATGACCCTGGGTGAAGCATAAAAAATGAATCAGGTGATATCAAGAGAACTCCAGTAATAAAAACAACTCCGACCACAGAATGTGCTTTTAGCTTTCGACAAGCAACTATGCATAACCAAGTGGATAGAGTACTTTAAGCCTTCACCTGATCAATAATAGGTGAAGCAAATATGCTCCCACCACATTGCAGCTTATAAACACAGCGTTGGCTCTTATAGTCAAGGGCATAAAGAGTGTGGTCATGTGATCCGCACCTGCATGAGTGGTGTAAATTAAGCTAGCAATAACTTTGGGCGAAATATAGTGTTCAGAATTATGTAAACACACAAGGAACTAAAACAGTAACATCTTTACTTCAGAGGCTGCTCCTAAAATTCTCTTCAAACTCCTTAGTCAGTTGCCTATATATTTTAACTAAGGTGAAAATCCTTCAGATACCCAATTTGTACTAGTCGTCATTATAATTTTCAAGAACATCATAAATTCTCTATGGGAAACAAGTAGATTACAATCGGATCAATTTAACGGAAACCATATAATCAAACCATTGGCAACCATGAATATATGAATGTAAGATCCACTCCAACTAAAACAAGATTAGAATGAAATTCAAATTTTGGCATAAATATTATGACTATCAATACTCTTCTACAACTAAGAATAATGACTTGGTGGATATGATAACAGAATAAGTCATCACAGTATTACCATATCAGTTGTGAAGATGTGTCCACAACAGGTTGGCACTTTATCTTCATCGGAAAAAGAAAAGAAATGGTCTTAAGTCAACTAGCCATCTGAGAACAATTTCTAAGAATGAGCAAACATGTGACAGTATTAATGTAGAAAAACAGAGTACAAATCTATGATCAGTCAATTTTCCTTCAGATGATACCTCCCCACATGCTTGGAATGTCCAACATAAGCTTCCAGTAGAGAAATCTAAGAAATATAATTTTCCTTCGTAGCATCCAATGACGACCTAGCATTGGGGATGTCTATAAAACTGTTCAAATCAATTAGAAATGATACAGAGCGCTATACAAATTGATGAGAAGACTAACCTGAGAATAATCACCAACTACCATGGCTGAACCTTCGATCCTTCCTTCTAGAACAGTCTCCCAACAAATAGAACCACTAATTAGCACAGTAAAGTATATCACTTGTTAGGAATCCAGCCTATTACCTAAAAAAATTAAACCCAATACTCATCACTTCATTTTAGATCCAAATCCAATGAACAGTAGTTCAGGAAAAACTTAAAAATTCATATGCTAGATACAGAAGATTAACAAAGATGCATACCTATTCGCGTCAATGCAGAAAAATTTACGTGAGTGAGACCCAATAAATAAATAAGTGTTCGAATGCTTCAACACAACTAGGGGCGAGGCATCTACACAAGACTCCATACGAACTTTCCATAGTTCTTGCATAGAGACCATTTGGTTCCTTGGAAACTCCACCGACCAGTTTTCATGGTTTCCCTCTTCACTATTACATGAGGTTGGATAATGTACTTTGTTGCACCGACTGAATGCACATTGTATTTCAGAAAATTCTGAATCCCATGACATTTTATGATTCATTCTTTTAGAATAATTTTTTTCTGAAACAATTTTCAATCGCTTTGCAGAAACGTTCTCCTCGCACTGCTTTCTTAAAGGTCTTGGATCTGACGTAACACCAGAATGTAGTGGAATGGTTCTACTAACGAGCTCATTACCATTCTGAGTCTCTGTCTTGTGGTCTAGCTTCTGATTGGTGTTGTGTTGAATATCTTCTCTTAACTTTCCATCCTTTTCTGACATGCAGATCAAAAGCTTAGATGGACTTCGAAATTGGTAAATCAATCTCATATCAATACCAAGACTATGAGAAAGATGCGCTGCGGCTAAAGAGTCTCCACCAATCGCAAAGAAATCATCATCATCTGAAACTTCTTTAACCATTAATGCATCACAAACGGCCTATATCAAAAGTTCAAGAAATGATATAAGTTCTCTTGTATAGTCAGTTAGATTCTGCAGATAAAATATAAATAAACAATGTTGTCTACATTTTTTCACAAGCATAATTGCTCAACCAAATTTTGAGATCCTAAGTTTGGCTGTTCCCAAAGAATTTTATAATCAGTAATAGTATCCAAGTAAAATATTGCATTTGCTTTTATTTTCCTTGCGGCTCATGTTCTCTACTCCCTGTTCCTTTACTCGAGGCTGAACATTATGATCGAAAATCTGACAGAAAAATACCCTTACACACCCCTATCAACTTTATTATCAAATTCTTACGACTCTAGTCTCTTCCCATTTGAACTATATCTACCACCCAGAATGGCAACCCTCCAAAGGTTACCCAAATATTAATAAAGAGTCACTTCCTAACATGGTTAAGAGAGAAAGAAGTAATCAGATACCAGAAGGGCTTACTCATAAGGAGAAAATAAAAAGTGTGTACGCACAGGATGGAAACTGCCTGACCTTTTTAATAGTTTGCAGTAAACTATTATTTCCATTGCTATGCATCATATCTTGAGCATGGGTTCTAGGACATTTCAACCTTGCTAGTGCTTCATAATCAATTTTTCCACTTGAAGTACTTGGCCATGACTCCACCAAAACAAAATGGTTAGGAATCATCACCGGAGGGAGTTTTTCTCTCATCCAATTTCTAATAGAATATACGATACCTTCATCGGACTTGGTTTCCTTGTTCAGTACTAAAAAGGCCTCAAGTGAAGCAAGCTCTGTCTGATCTCCGTTAAGTACAGCAACAGCTTTAGTAACATCTGGATTTAGTTCTAGAGTTGTTTCAATCTCTTCAAGGGCCATGCGTTGTCCATTAAGTTTCACAGTTCGATCCCTTCTACCAATAAAAATCAAATCACCACTAGAAAGCCTCCGGCCGTAATCACCAGTTCTATAATAAAGCTGGCTTCCACACTCATTGGTTAAATGATTACAGAGCGAGTTATCATGTAGCTTAACATAGTCTTGGGATTCTGTCGAGGAATTCAGGTATCCTTGCGAAAGACAGAGGCCACCAACACATATTTCTCCTTCATAAGGTTTATCTTCGCCACCAAAAAGTACAATTTTGCAATTTGAAATTGGCTTGCCAATAGGAACACTACTAAGCTTCTCGGTCTTCAAGAGTTTTGGCAACCCACTGCAGTCAAAATAAGTGCAGTCCCCTGATACCTGGACAAAATGAAAGGCCAATCGATACACATCTCAACGAACTGCTGTATAAGTTAAGAGAATGTAGAAAGGATATAATCACAACTCTGACCAGGTATAACAAGTTAAACTCAGCGTAAGTATCAAACAAAGTGAAACTAAGAAGTTTTCAAGTTATTAACATTTTCCAAACCAAAGGCCAGTTGTAATTATCAACATCTTTCAAACCATAAACACAAGCCAATACCAATTAGCTGATAAAGCTACTTCCCCCACAAACTCTTTAAGTACACCAGCTAGAGAAGATCTCCTGAGATTAAATCATAATAAGCATATTTTTCTTACCTCTGTACTCCCATATAGATTCAGAAAACATGTTTCCGGAAGTAGGTTGTGAAGTGAATCCCACAGGCTCACGGGAAAGGGTTCACCACTTAAAACTACCAGCTTCAGGCAACTTTGGAGCTTATTGTCCCCACGATGTTGTAAACTAGGAAGAATAGCTCTGATCATCGATGGGACAGCTAGGAGTCTACTGATAGAATACGCCTATCAAGATGGATACTGGCCAACATTACTCAAATGGAAAGTAAAAGTAATATAATGAAAGACAAAGCAATTTCCTCTAATGATAGGAATCTTAACTTAAATAACCAACAAGAGAAGCTATATCTGTTCCTCATCACGACTTAATGATCTACTTCAATCATGCTCCAACTAAGCATCTAGTCACGCCATTTGCTGTTCTTGAAGATAATCAAAAGTAAATAAATAAAATAAACTAGAAAACTATCATTATGAAACATGGCATCCAATGGAGTTGTCATTAATAAAGATAAGATCTCATAGGATAGCACTTTATGCATTCTTTATTGCTCTGTTATGTGTTTGATCCCCAATATGCAACCTAGTGAAGATGCTTAAACCAATTTCCCGATTTTGAAATGGACATTTGGATGCAATATAGGAAAAGAAAAATAAGAAACGACTTGAGAACATCTATAAAACATTGACAAAAAAAATCTGATTAGGAAAAGATTTCAAGGACCTCAACAGCATAACACGTACAGAAAGTGGTTGTTATTTTGATTCCAAACTATAGAAACCATAACTCTTACCTCCAGAAAATCAATGATGGATGTCATATTCTCTTTTAGGAGAGTAAATGGAGGGATGACTAATGTAGTGGAAGTAAGAATAGCACCAAGAAACTCCTGCAGATGATCAATAAAACCAACTGAAGTCTTGAAAGCTAGTTGCTGCTCTCTGACAACAGGATAGAGCTCTTGCATCCACAGGAAGCGATTTAAAAGTCCTTCACAGAACAAGTTACATGAATTTCAGATGTCATCACTTTGCATGAAAAAGAAGAGCAAACACGATAATTATAGATGAGTTCTTCTCAATTAGCAACTAAAAAAGTTACCTACCATTAGTGGTATTAAGCCCTTAAATACACCATGTCACGCAAGAATGTACAGAAAATTAATCATAGAATAATCATTGGGAAGACTGAAATATATGGAAATAGCTAGGAGACAACCTTGGGCAAACTAGAATGTATAAGATAAGCTACAGACATGCTGTATATCTATTCTACAAGATGTTTGGATATCTCAAAGGGTCAAAGTTTTCACACAACAATTCCAAAGAGTTATAGCTAGCTATCATGCTGACAAAGAACAATGAACAATCTAACATGTACATGCTATATACGAACACTTTATTTGCATTTACGAAAGTAACAGAAACAAGTTCAAACAATTGGCTCAACTCACTCAGTGTTTTATAATCATGAAAAGAAAAATATTCTAACCTTGCTCAGTGCCACATACTCCTTTTGGCTTCCCAGTAGAGCCAGAAGTATACATCATGTAACAAAATTTCCTTTGGCTCTCTTTCTTGCAAGGCCAAACAGAGTTTGAGGGACCAGTTTCCGCACTCAATCTTTCATTCATTGAAAAGAACAATACCGGGCATACGATGCTTTTGACGAGCCAATGTGATCTGTCGAGCGGGTGACATCCGAATCGATCGAAAGAAGATCCAGAAGCAATAACAAGAGTAACATTTGAAGAGGAAATGATAGACAATACCCTTTCTCTAGGCCATGAAGGATCCAAAGGTAAAAAGGCTTGTCCACATCTCATAACAGAAAGCACAGTGATTATGTATTCAACAGAAGGTGGCATATATAAAGCCAATACCTTTGGCATATATACATCTGAGGCAGCCTCAGGGTCAAGCTTTTCTGCAATGTCAATAGCCAAACCTGGAAAAGGTGGTCGTCTGATGAGGTAAGGATCAGTGTGAGCAGGGACATGGAGAATACGACGGAGACGAGAGGTGAGGGAATCGATGGAGGAAGAGAGCTCGGCGAATGTGAAAGACGCGTCTCCGCCGTAAACAGGCGGTGTGCAGGACGGCGAATGAGGAAATTCCGAGGTAATTGTGGCCGCCCAGCCGGAGGCGTGAATGGCGGCGATTTTGTTAGGGTTTCTGGAGGCTGCGTCGACGAATTTATGAGAGATACAGCAATTGCCACGCTCCTCCGAGTTGACTGGGTAAGTTCCACTCATATTTCGTGCTCCGGAATCTTGTCACCAACAGATTGCTCCGGAGAAGAACGGAAAAATTAGTGATTGATTTGCCTTACCGAATGTCGTCTAGTAGAGCTTAATTTTATGGTCTGATTTTGTCATAATGTACATAGACAGACACTAGAAAAGTTAACTTAACATCGTTGGGTTTTCTCAAAGGTTTTTTTTTCTTCCTTTTCTTCTAATTTAGTGAGAATGTTAGTATCAGAAGTATGAGCTCCACTCACTTCCAAAATATAGTTCAAAGAAATATAGTTCAAAGAATGAGGATTGCTACATATTTATGGCTTGATTAGCCGAGCATTTTAAAAAAAATTATGTTTTTTATTATTAAAATTTAATTGGTTGACAGATCATTAAGTAGGGCATTTAGTAACTGTAAATGCTCTCAAAATGCTCATCCCTCAATGTTTCAAATGGAGCATTTCCAAAATATTGATCTCTAAATATTTTTACAAAAATTAAAAATAAAATTATATAACTAACCAATTTATGTTATATTACAACAAAAACAAATTATATTAANTTTTAATTATTTAAATTCATATTTATCATTATTTTATTTATTCTAATATATTATATTAAGATAATATTATAATATAATACTAATTCAATTAAATATAATTTAAATTCGAAAAGATTATAAAAAAAAATTTATGTTATAATTTATAAATATAATATATACAATCATTTCAATAAAAGTAAATATACATAATTTCTGTAATTATAAAACATATATATATATATTAATATTTCTCATTTTTTTATATGTTCTATTATTTTTAAATAAATTTTAATAAAAATATAACTTAAATATTAAAATTTATAATTCTTAAACATATTTATATTTATATTAAAATGAAAACTTAATATATACCATTAGTTTATTTGTCATATTATTTGTAAAATAGTATTATAATAAAATAATAATTTAATCAAAAAATAAAAATTGATGTTATAATTTATGACTAATATATATATATATATATAATGTATTAGAATACATATAAATAAGTAAAATAAAATAATATATTTTAATTTTATATCTAATCATTCACAGCTCAACCAATCAGCTAAATGTGTATATTAATTAAAGCATACTGCTCCAGCTGCTTACTGCTAATGCTGCATTATGCTACTGCTTATCAAAAAGCTGTACCAAACAAGACCTTATATATTACTCAAGAATTGGAATTCTAGTCGATGTGGGACATTTAACACCCCCCTCACGTTCAGGACTAGACATCTGAAACGTGGAGTTTGTGGGACTGGACATCCACGGGTGGTCCACAATCAAACTTAGGTCCGCTCTGATACCATATTAGAAGTATGAGCCTAACTCACTCCCAAAAGCTAGCTCAAAGGAGGAGGATTGCCACACACTTATTTATTGCCTAAGAATTGGAATCCTAGTCGATGTGGGACATTTAACAGTTAGTTTGGAGGACCTTTTAGCTTAGTGATTGTACTGTAGTGATCTTTAGGATTGAGAACCTCATCTTTTATATACCATAATAACAATGTTTTTACAGCTGCGTTGACTTGTTTTATGACCATATGTAGTGTGTTAGATCGATAACTCTCTGGAAACAAATTTGTTTGTGTTGAGAAATATACAAACTATACTAAGATTTATATGATGGAGGTATATAATTGTGTTTTACTTATATATTCTTGATACAATATTATATATATATATATAAGTGTTTTTGATAACAAAAAAAAAAGTTTATCAGAGAAAGAATATTACATGCATAATGACACTTAGATAAAGCCAATGAGACTTGGTCATAAACATGACACTTAGATTTAGATAAAACCTCATTTGTGTCTAGTTTGTGTCAAAATTAGCAAGTAGATACTTGTCTATGAATTTGATAAGCTTAGTTTCTAGTTTGATGAATAATCACTAACTTATAACA